CAGGCAGAGTTCCTCTAGGTGGTGGCTATTAGCTCTCTAGACTCCTTCATGGAGCAGCGGGCGTGTCCTCCTCTGGAATCCTGATTTTGAACCTTTGACTTGCACTCGCTCTGTTTTTATTTTTTGCCCACCCAGATTTAGTTGCTCTGTTTTGTTCTTTTCTGGTCCTTCCCTCTGAAGAGGGGGAAGCCCCTTTGGTTTGAGAAGGAGGTCTCCTTCCAGCGAGTTATCCAGAACATGGAGACCAAATAGGCCTAAGAACTGCTGCCTGAACCCCAGTGGGCCACGCACTTGGAGATTCCTATGGTACGTCGGCAGTAAAACGCAAGTGTGTTACTGGGGGGAAATGCTGTTGGATGATTGCACGCTGCTTCTTGATACTGAAATGGAACTTCGCCCCCAAGAAATGACTATATATATATGCTACACATGTTTAAAGACACCCAGGTCCTTTCTCTGTATCATCAGAACAGATCGGCTAAAGTTTAAAACTTCTGCCACAGTCCAAGCTCCCGCCGTGCTCCTTTGAGTAATTTGGAACGGCCACTATCAGATTTCACAGGCTTTTTTTTTTTTTTTTTTTTTTTGCTCCCTGCATAAAACCCTTTCCTGGCCAAGCTCCTCCAGGCCTACCACAGCTTGATAGTAAGGGGTTCTATTTTTCTGGAAAGTGATTTTGAGCAAACCCCAAATACCGAGAGACTAGACCTGAGCTGAAGCTGTGAAAGCTGGTTGGGCTGGCAAGTTCAGGACCAGGGCTTGGCTTCTTTATAGCAGTCTGGGTCACCAATCATATATAGAGAAAAGGGAGTCATTGCTCAAGTTTTCAGTCACCTTGGGATGGGGGTTTAAAGAGTGATAAGTTTGCCCTTCTATAAGAACCTTTCACAGAAGGATCTGAAAATGCTTTAAATACATGAAAGATTGAAACCACACAGCATCCTTATAAGACAGTTAAGCATTATTATATCCATTTTACAGATGTAAACTGAGTCACAGAGAGTTGGTGTGACTTGCCTAAGATGGCAGAGCCAGGGCTAGAACCCAGGAGTCCTGTTACCCACCCATCTGCTCTGATCACTGTAGTAATTCTTTCCCTGTCTGCCTTGCCCTCAGGATGTGGCAGGAAGGGGGGAGTTTCCCCCTCAATGAATCTTCCTCTCCAGTAAAACTTGCCTGTGAATTCCCAGTATTTATGTATCAAAGCCAAATGCAAGTTGCTGCTGCAAGAGGAGTGTGATCAATCACAACCCTGCCACACTCTCGCGATCACTAGAATGGGGTTTCAGCCATTTCCCTCTAAACCATTAGTGCAAATGGTGCGCTCAGACAATTAGGTAGCACTTGCTGTTTTTAAGTACTAATGACCTGGAATTAACAGAAATAACCATGGTATAAACTGGTAATTAATGTCCTCTTTATTATCCCGCTAATGAGATGAAAACCTATCGAGAAAGGATCGTCATTGCTCAGCCCCAAATATGACACCGTTAACACCATTGTAATGTTCCTCTAATTACCCAGAACTCATCCAGACGGATTGGCTCAGAATGAAACAGGCAGCTGCAGAAATGGCTGGACCCTAACGAGAAAGGAGTGGGACCATTTGACAAGTCACTAGACTGAGTGTGAATCTGAGGGAATAGGATGTTGTACAAACATCAGAGTTATTCTACCAGAAAAGAGCGGGGGTCCCTCTAATGCAGACACAGCAGCTTGTCTCTGGAGGAGACCTGTACTAGTTGCTTCCAATATTCCCATTAATGAACTGTGTCGGTTGTCCTATACAATTTTTAACACTATTATTTGGGCCCAGATGACCCAGCCATGACCGAGGCCCCATTGTGCTGGGGTGCTACACAGAGGGCTATTCCAGACAATCCCGGTCCTGAAAGATTTTACAATTGAATATTAAGGATTGGGGTGACAGGAGACTGAACATTAGAATTTATTCCTGACTGTGGTAGGAAAACACCAAGGCCTGGCTTGTGACCGTCACTTGTAGAGCTGCCAGCGTTAACAGTTATTAAATCAGAGGAGAGTGGCTGATGGGCTGGTACCCAGCTACCACAAACAAGCCCCCTCCTCGCTGGAGGCAGGCAGAGGACTTAGAGGACTTGCCTGCCCTGAGAACTGTCCCAGCACCGGCTTGTTCTTTCACATGTCTAGCGTCAGGGTGTGGCAGAGGGGGCGGGACACTCCGTTGACGCTGGAGGCCTGGGCGGGGAAGCCCACTCCATTCACACTTCATTGCAAAAGGCTCAGGTGGGGCAAACCTCAAACACATGGGTGGGTTTGTTTGGTCTGAGCGACTTCGTCTGTATTGAGTTTCCCTGCTGGCCTTTGTACAGTGCAAACTCGGGCTTACAGGCAGGTGGCTGGAGCTCCTTTCTCATTCCCCTCCCCTCAGTCTCTGAGCTGAAAGGCGCACTTGGGCCGCATGACATGTGGCTTTTTCCTCTAAAAGCTGCCTCGGCCCTTGACTTGGTGCCTCGCCCCCTGCAGAGAAACACATCACTCCAGAGCAGTGTTGTTTCAAGGTTGATTACACACAATGAACCGGCTCTTTTGACCCCCAAGTCACACCTCAGCTAGGGGATGACTGACCAGCAGAGGTTTGCCTTTTTTATCCACAGCCTTCTGCCAGATGTGCTTCCCATCCATCAGACCTGACACTGCGTGCAATCCTAGGGACTATTTGGAGAGCTGAAAAGCAACACGTCCCTTTTACCTAGCAAAGCCAAAGGAAGGGGCACAATGTGTTACTGACGTACCCAAGAGGGCAGCTGGTTTGTGCCTGTCATCAGTGTCTGCTCCACTACGACCTAATGGTGTGAGTGCCGTTGTCACGGTTGTACAGGCAGAATGTAAATGCCCCCATGCTTTTAGCTCTCTGCATTCATACAATTTAGCACATGTGTTTGCTGTTGTACAGGGTTTTTTCACCCTTTTATTTTCAATGAAGCAAGTGCCCCCACTCCAGGGTAGAATAATACACAAAATCATGTGCGCAAACACACACGGTGCGCAAACACATGTGCGCAAACACACACGGGCTGGTGAAGCTAGAGTTCTGGAGGACATCAAGCAAATCCACCAGGTACCGCACAAAGTCCAGCCTGGGGCATGACCCTTGGATTCTGATCCAAGAAAGGCCATCGCAGAGCTGCTGACTGCTGGTCACCCTGTAAAGTGCTTTGAAATGAAAAAACAAAACAAACAGTAGGCAGAGGAAGGGCGGTCGGGTCAGTTTCATTTCCTCCCATTTTACAGATTGGGTGATTAGGACCAGTGGCTTGTCCAAGGCAGCAGAGAGGCAGAACTAGCATCCTGGACGCCTGACCCCCAAGTCCCCTGCTTTAGCCACAAGGCCACCCTTAACTAGGAAAGGGATTTCAGTGTAAAGAGGATGGAGCTGTTGTAAACGAGAGGAAAACACCATTTAAAATTAAAATAATTTAAAATACCTCTACAATGTCTAAATAGGGGCAACCACAGGATTAAATCCTTATCACAGAGATATCAAAGAGTCAGATCTGCTACTTCCCGGCTTTCACTTTGCTCCATTTAGCTAAAAATGGCATTTTATTAAAAGGGAGAGGGGGAAGGCTGATGAAAATGATAACGTTAACTTTGAAAGATGGGCTGCCTTTGTCTGCCGTAAGAATGCCGCAGCTTATCTGGGGAAGATTCAAGTGCTGGGTCTGCTTTCAGTCTGACATGAATGCAGCAGGAGCTTTCAAATGCAAATTGCCGACTCACTTTAGAGACTACAATGTGAAATGAGGCTCCCCACAAAAGAGAGGAAAAACATTTAAAATAAAAAAAAAAAAAAAAGCAACAAGAAGTCAGCAAATGCTGCGGCCCATCTTCCTCTCCGCATCTGTGCTCCTCTACCTGGCTCAGCAAAGAGAGGAATTGACTATGCTTCCTTGAAAGGAGTGAGGGGTCTGGGCCGAAGCATCCCCCAACAGTGGGATGGGCTGTAGCCTGGACTGGCCCAGTGTAGCTACTTAAAGGGCTTGTGAGGCTCCACTTTTCCCTTCTTCCAAAGGGGAGCTGTTCCCATGCCCCACTCTGCCACAGCACCTGACTATCTGACCTGCAGTCCCCGCCCCCACCATTCCAGCCATAGCAATAGTGCTGAAATTAACTTCGTGTTCATGAAAAGTTCCCAGAGATTTCTCCTATGACAAATGGATACAAGCCCTCAGGAACTGTCTAGGGCCACATGAACTATTTCCTTCTCCTTTACTGAACCTGCAGAAGATTGTGCTACACAGCCGTGATCAGCATCAGATTTCTATCCAAATCCGTACACTGCTGCTCTCGAACCTCCCAGGTAGGGTTACTGGGACTCTTCATGCTGCAGCCCCTATGTAGAACCGAGCAATTGTTGTCTTTAAGCTGCTGTTCCGTCGTTGTATTTCTTTGGAATGTACCTGTAGGCTACTGTAGGTTTATTGACAGGTTTCAGAGGAGCAGCCGTGTTAGTCTGTACAGGAGGACTTGTGGCACCTTAGAGACTAACCCATTTATTTGAGCATAAGCTTTCGTGAGCTACAGCTCACTTCATCGGATGCATTCAGTGCTCTTAAGTAAGAATGCAGGAGTTTTTCCAGCCACTAGCTTGAAGTATAATATACACTCCAAATTCTGTTCTCACGTACAGTGGTGTGGTGTGACTCTAGAGTTACCCATTACAGCTAAGGCCCTGTCTTGCTATAACGTAGCTCATTAGGTTGTGATTATGTTGTCTCATGTAAGAGACAGCTTGCTTTTCTGGGCTGATGGAACGGATCCAAGGAGTTTGCTGCTGTGAACCCTTGAGGTCCAGAACAAAAACTGAAATCACTGTCTATGACACTACAGCCTTGGAAAAGAGAGATGTGCGTAGTTAAGATGTGCTTGGCAATCCGGATTTCTAGCAAGAGGAGCCCAGAAAGCCAAAAATATAAGGGATTTGCTTTTCATGAGGCTAATCAAGGCAGCAAATTAGCTCTGTTCAGTACAGTGCAACATATCAATGAGCAGGTTTAATCAAATCCATTGTGGATTGTGCGTAACAGGTAGAACTGCCAAAAGGGGTTTCTGTGGGGGTGAAAATACAGCAGTTTGAACATCACAGGCTGACAGGTTTGGAGGCAATTAAGGTAATAGGAGGCAAAGTGCTTAGCTTACCCATCTATCCATGGGGGAGGATTCGGGTGAAGAATGTTGGAGCTGCATACAGAATGTTCCCAAATGCTGCTGTTCTGGGGAGGTATTTCAGGACCAACTCTGACAGGTACTTAGATATTTAGTGTCCTCTACAGAGGCTGCAGGTGTTCAGATCTGTGCAACTTCTCAACTTTCTTATCATACTGTATTGCAGAAAGCACAGAAGCTCTGCATTGCTGAACCATTGTGCCTCAGTTTCCCTGTAAAAATGGAGGCAGTAATACTGACCTATAACACAGGGGTATTATAGGGCTGAAGGTTTGTAAAGCAACTTTAGATCTGCAAATGCAAGGCATATGGAAGTGCAAAGTATTATTGTCCTGGACCAGAAACCTACAAGGAAGAATGTTTGCAGAGTATTTTTAAGCTGTACAAAAACAGAAAGCACAGCAAATCTGGCAAAAAGCTCTTACCACACGCTTGAAAATTTATCTAAAACTTTCCAGAAATGAGGATGCTTGTTTGAAGTCTACTCAGTATTACCTATTATCACACAATAACCCACATCTAGAGCTGATTGGGAAAATGCGGACAAATTTTGCAAAAAAAACTTTTCATAATTTTTCACAAAAATAATCATCAACTATGCCCCCAAATGGAAACGGCAACCAGTTTTTCATCCACTGTGGCCTATACAAATATAATTGTTTGTTTAAATCCAGTTAAAAATAATAAGGAATCTTTTTCACAGGCCTGCTTGGACAGTCCTCCAGAATGAATTAGACCTAATGCAAAGAGAATTCAGATCTTCTGCTCACAATCGGTTGTTGAAAACCTCTGCCTGTGTTTTTTCTATTCATTGGATGTCCTTCACAGTTCTGTATTCGGTTTGTCCTTAATTCCCCCTCCCACTGTGCTGTCTGCATGCAGCAGTCACACAGCATTGTCACAGTGCAGTATCTCCTGGCAACTAGGCATTCATTCCCAATTAATTTCCATTGACAATATGAATAGATGATCATATCTGTGCAGCTTTGAACACAATACCAGCCGGGGCTGCCCTCCTGGAAAGTTAAGAGGGTATTTTGTCTGGTTTCCAACGAAAGACGGCTGATAATGTGAAGAACAGTGAAGAGACCTGCAACAGCAGGTTTTCCCATAGATTCAGAGTTTAATGCCAGAAGAGCCCCATTAAATCATCTAGTTTGGTCTCCTGAATATCACGGGATTAAATTTTGCCCAGTTACCCCTGTATTGAACCCAGTAATTTGTGTTTGACTAAAGCAGATCTTCCAGAAAGGCATCCAGTCTTTATTTGGAGACATCAAAAGATGTGCCTGGTTATTTACCACTTCTCTTGGTACTTGTTCCAAGGGCACTAATACACTATCACATCACCTCTCCATCTTCATTTTAGATGTTAAACAGATCGAGCTCTTTAACTTTCTAACTGTAAGGATTTTCTCCAGCCCTCGAATCATTTTTGTAGCTCTTCTCTGCACCCACTCTAATTTTTCAACATCTTTTTTACAGTGTGGACACCAGAACGGGGCTTGGCATTCCAGTCTCAATACTGCTGTATCGCCTTCCTGCTCGCTATCCTCCTGTTCATACAGTCAAGGATCACGTTAGCCCTTGTGCCACAGCTCGTGTTCAGTTGTGTGTCTGCAATGACCCCTAAATCCCTTTCGGAGTAACTGCTTTCCAGGATACGGTCGCCAATCTGTAGGTGTGGCCTGTATTCCTTGTTCTAGATGTGTAACTTTGCACGTGGCTGTATTAAAATACATTTTAATTGAATGGGCCTAGGTTAGTCTACTTTTTGAAGTCTATCAGTTAGCCAGTTCCTAATCCACTTAGTGTGTGCTCTATTAACGTTGTTTGTGCTAATTAGGTATGGTATGTGGCAGGGAGATATGGCTTTAGGCAAGGTGTGGCACCTTGCCTGATGCTACATTGACAATGGGGATGAGGGAGCATGAATTGTTGGCATAGACTCCAGAGGCAAAAGGCAATATAATACTGAAGAGTGGCAGCCTATAACACAGAGGTGCGCATGGTCTTCACAATCTCCCCAGACACTGCCCCATCACATGCCTGAGTGTTCTGATGGGACAATCTCAGCAGGTGAAAGGGCAGTTCCTCCTCATGGCCTCCCTGCTGAGATTGCCAGCAAGGGGTCTACCTGTGAGGCTGTTATCTGTGCACTGGGAAATGGACTGAGATTACCCACTTGTTTCACACAGGCCACTGCAAATTCATCAGCCACTTGTCTACCACTCCCTCACCTGTGGCTGAGACAGTGCCCAAGGGGTGATCTTGTCCATTTTCAACCCTCTCAGTTAACTCCCTTTGACTTGATTTTTAATACTAAGCAGAGTTAGCCCAATTCTACCCCTTGACCTGTGGCCATAATTCATCTCTTTATTCCTACATGTACTGTATCGCCTGATTTCATGCTTTCCAGTTCCCACCTTTGCCTGAGATCTGCAAGGGTCCCCTACTCTGAAACCAATACCAGATTTGGATGCTGTGTGCTCATAGATTAAATGAAATTCCAGCGTCAGACAATTTTGACATCTCTAGTACTCACCTTTAGAAGAGATTATCTTCTGTCAATTCAAATAATGCACGAATTCTGAGCTGACTGAGTGATTTGAAATCACACACAGAACCTGCTGAGCCCTTCTAGCCCCCGGGACAGTTCATAGAAATGCAGGGGTGGATTGTGGAGATCTTCTGATCTGTCACTTAAAGGGATTAGCGAGAGGAAGGACAACCCAGCTGCTTGCTCCAGCATGCAATGGGGAGCTACTGGCAAACAAAAGCCTTGTAACAGAAAACTCTGTGCTGCACTCTTTGAGCTCTGTGCAACAATTTAGATGAACTAGAATGAGTAAAGTACCATAAAATTGTCATCTTTGTGTACAAAATACAGTTCAAAAAACAAAACACTTAAAACAAACACATTCTGGAAATGCAGCTTTTTAAAATCTGTTAAAAAAGAATTTAAAAAATAAAAATCCAAACAAGCCCACGGCTCAGCAAAGGATAACAGAAATAGTGACAATCGTCTGGACTGTGGCATATGGTATAAATACATAGGGATTCATTTACCATTTTAAGTAGAACAAATATGGCTATGTTACATCATTGGCGGTCATGTTGATGTGCCAAGAATTCAGTCAGACAATAAATCATAGTGACTTGTCCATGGCTTGATTAAATAGAGGCAAACTGCAAACAGGAAGGAAACACATCCTGCCAGCATGTGGGCGAGGTTCACAGAGCAGCTCACTCGGTTTTCTGTCTGCAAACAAACATTGTCAAGGAAATTCAGAACCAGAAAATCTATGGAGGGAAAACTCTCTAAAGCTGGTAACAACAGGACTATGTCGCTTGGTAGGTGGAGTAAGATAAAAGCTTTGACAGATGCTCCAGGAACACGTCATTCTACTGACCCGCAGGCAAAGCCTCCTCTTTATTGATAGGCAACCTTCACACAGAAAGTTTCTTCATTCTTGTCTTCATGGTCATTGATATAAATCAGAATCTCCTCCTGCCCGGTGCTCTGGCTTGGTGCAAACCGCAAGCCAATAGTGTACGTCTCCCCTCCTCCAATCTGCAAAAAGAGTGAGATGTCAGCACTAAACATCTCCGTTCTCCTTACACCAGCATGCCTTGCACTAGCATATGTGTGCATTTGGCACCAAGCTGCAGGAGGGCTCTGTCAGCTGACAAAGCAGGCACGGGAGACGTGCCCGACAGTAACACATAACGTGATTTCTACCTGGTCCCCGTGTCAGACATCCCAACCCACTGAGTTCACACAGCACCACCCTTCCCTAGCAAACGCTTACAGAGCACAAAAGAAGTCTAAAGTTTTCAGAACGCATGAAGCTTACTAATCTGTTTCCAGTCTCCCTGAGCAAATGGTGGAGTTTTGCTGTGAGTGGAACACGCATTCTAGGATTCAGGGTAAGAAGCAAATGATGGACCACAACAGACCACGACATGCAGAAAAACATTCTGGGAGTGATTTTCAAACGTGTTCACCTCCCAGAACTCCGGCTAGAGTCAACAGGAACAGCGTCTCTGAAAGTCAGCCATTGAGCATTGGAGAAAATCGTTAGATTTGGAAAACCTTTGAGGATTGAAAACCAGAAAGATAGGCAGGCCTACTGCAAGGGTATCTGAGCTTCTCCCGCCACTCTGGTTTGCTACCTCAAAGGAATCCTCCTTGAACTGCAGCAGGTCAGCTCGGTTGGTATGCAGGAAGTACATCCTCCTGGAGGGATACGGGTTCGTGTATGTGATCCGCTTGTTGGAGCCTTTCCCTCCGCCGGCAGGGAGCGTTATTTCAAATGCCTGTGGTTACATATAAGAAATCACAGTGTTGTCATTTCAGTACTGACACAGGCCAAGTCTGGAGTAAAAGCACAATGGTTTCCCACACGGCATAGTAAACACCCACAGGAAGCAGAGTAGCAATCGTGTTAGTCTGTATTCACAAAAAGAAAAGGAGGACTTGTGGCACCTTAGAGACTAACAAATTTATCTGAGCATAAGCTTTCGTGAGCTACAGCTCACTTCATCGGATGCATTCAATGGAAAATACAGTGGGGAGATTTATATACATAGAGAACATGAAACAACGGGTGTTACCATACACACTGTAACAAGAGTGATCAGGTAAGGTGAGCTATTACCAGCAGGAGAGCGGGGGGGGAAAAAACCTTTTGTAGTGATAATCAAGGTGGGCCATTTCCAGCAGTTGACAAGAACGTCTGAGAAACAGCTGGGGTGGGGGGGGCAAGAGGGGAGGAATAAACATGGGGAAATAGTTTTACTTTGTGTAATGACCCATCCACTCCCAGTCTTTATTCAAGCCTAAGTTAATTGTATCCAGTTTGGAAATTAATTCCATATTCAGCAGTCTCTCGTTGGAGTCTGTTTTTGAAGTTTTTTTGTTGAAGAATTGCCACTTTTAGGTCTGTAATCGAGTGACCAAAGAGATTGAAGTGTTCTCCGACTGGTTTTTGATTTCCCTTTATTCTGGAGTCACTACCAAAATGTTCAGTAAATTTGCAGAGAGTGAAAACTACTATATAAGAACCCAGCAATGAGTTATTAGAACATGGAAGTGAAGTGATTATGACCCAATCGCAGATTCTGTTTAGGCCATTTATGGAAGGAATAACAGCGGGGACTGAATGGCTCCTTCTGGATCTTCTAGTCCCTATGCTCGGCAGCAAGAACAGAAGACGTCTCTATCTATCACTCCAGTCCCAATTATCTATCGTTCTAAGGCTAACTGTGGATTCAAATCTCCTAGGACCATTTCATAGGAACAAGGGGCAGGTGGGTCCAAAGTGCTCAAGGCTGGCCTGGATCTGCTCCCGCCGAAGCCAATGGTCGAACTCTCGTTAGGACAAGGCTCAGTGGTTTTGAAAATCCCTTTCAAAATGTTTTGACCAGAAACTTTAAGGGGTGTCTCCAGGCTACCACAGTCAGCCCCCTCTCTCCCGACCACACATCCCACGGCGATGGTGTCAGTTCTGGTTACAATGTCTCGTGTCTATTCATTAGAGGAATTTTTCTTCCTCAGTGGATCCTTTGTTAGGCTATTCCCCATGGGTGGGCCAGAGAGGGCCCCCTTAAATCCCACTTGAAACCCTTTACTGAAGGCTAAAGTGCTGCATAGGCCTTGCACAGGGGAAACTTTCACTCACTGTGAAAACATTAGTTCCCTCACCTCACCTGGCTTTCCTCTCAGCCCCCAGGAAGCATGGATTATGCTTAAATTTCTACCATCAGGGTAAAGTGGAGAAAGGGCTCTCCCCCGGCCTGAATTCTGCAGTGAGTCTTTTGTATATATGGGGTTATTCGCCTCAATGACAAAGGGACTCAGCTGGGATCATAGCCAGGCTCCTTCGCCAGCTAGCTAATTTATTTCCATTAGGACCGCCATGGTGCTAATTCCCATCACACGGCATACGGGAGTGGTTCTGGCGTTACGAGGGAAAGTGTAGCAGTGCTGTAATGTTGCGCTTAACTTCCCCCAGTGTAGAGTATTTCAGGGAAATGTTTAATAATGAACAATGGTTAAATGGGAAATCCAGTTTCCTGCTTTGGCCCGAAATCCCAGAGCAGACTGGAGTCAGCGCTACTAGGAAATACCCCTGCTGTGACGGACTTCGGGAACGGGGGCTCTATGGGTGGAGCTGCCTTCGAAACAGGGGCCGAACATGATTTTCTGATGGTTTTCAGTGGGATTGTTCACAGGCTGAAAGTTAAGCACGTGCTTAAGTGCATCCTAGATCCAGGTCACAGTGCTCAGCACGATGTAACCCATACCGTACACCAGGTTCCCTCAAAATCCTCTACGATATATTCTGAATACAAGAGCTACCCACAACTGTTACCACAGACATGCATGCCACTATAGCCCTGATTCTGGAAAGCACTTAAACGTGTGCATAAAGTCCCGCCAACTTCAGGGGCAGTTCAGCACGTGCTTTCCTGAATGGGCATGGATTTGTGCTTCGGTGCTTTCCTGACCTGGGGCCTATATACACAAAATCGGGAGAAGCAGCAGTATTTATGTACAAAGGGAAAAACCACAAGTGCTTCCTCTGGTTATACCCAGGGCCATATCTAAAGCAGCTGTCCAGATATAGTAATATTATAATTCCGATGGCAATTTGATTGCATTTAGCATGTGAAGGCAATTACTTTGGGGCTAGCTGCTGTTAAAAATATTACTACTTTAAGGTGATTAACTCAAAGAACGAAGTGGTTTTGTCACTATCTGTCCCAAATGTTTAGAAATCAGTTTTATGATCCTATAATATATTCCTGGTGAAGGGAAGAGTCTTTCAAGTTTGAAGAGACTGCAAAGAAAGCAAAACACTGTCCAAAGAATAATAAAAAAATCAAAATGTTCTACACACATTCTGGAGTTGTAACAACACAGGACTCTAGTCTCGCCCTTTCCTGTACGATGAATGACTTGGAAGTTTCTCACACTCAATGTGAGGGACTGATTTCTGACCAGAAGTGGTGGCTAAAGGCTATGGTAATGGGTGACATAGAGATAGCTACAGACGGTAGTGACCCTTCCAGTAAAACTAGTCAGCTCACTTTGCACTCAGGGCAGTTCCATCTTTGGCAAATAAGATTTAACTAGCAGCTAACAACCCATGCGGTCGCACAAGTGTAATTTGTAGAGTCAACGTGGCTGAGAACTTAAAAATTTGATGGTAACAGACCACGAATCCCAGTGATGACTGAACCTGGTGACATTCTAAACACAAAGAGCTCTCAGCCATGCTTGTAGCTGTTTCCATCACTTCACACTGACTCAGGAGATATTCTAGGCTTTCGAGTGACACACAGACAGAGTGACCTGCCTGGAAGGTTGTTATAAGAGTGCACCCAGGTACCTTAGAAATGACAGGCTGTCGGCAGGAGACACACACCAGCCAGGACGAAACAAGCTGGTGGTACTCCACATCCACCAGATTGAGGTAAACAAATCTGCTGCCAGCTTTCTGAGGCCTCACACCGATATGCAGGTCCTGGACCCCGTTCGGAGGGAGAATAAACACACCTTTGGGATCCACCTGTAGAAAATGAGCAAAATGGAAACCGGCAGAAATGCTCACAATTTAGGGCAGCAACCAAGCCATTGGAACACAAACTCTACGCGTGCAGATGAGGCCTCTCTGCCTCTCAGGAAAGACAATGAAAAGGTTTAATTAGAATCCCCAAATGATGTATCTCTCCGGTCCTGGAAATGAGGTCTCAATCTGGTACATTCCAGCTCAAAATGTTTTATATTAAAAATGCAAGAAAATCAGAATTGTCTAGATGAAAATGAAAGATGGTATCAGTGATGGTCAAAGTTATTGGCCCTGTTAATATAACACGTTATTGGGATAGTCTCAGCATGAGAGACAGTGGAGGAGAAATTAACCCAAACTTTTACATGTGCCATGAAAAATCTTTTTAGAGGCACCAACATGGTGTCCTTTGATCAAGTCAGAAGGGAAGTTAATCTACTGTACCTTCTAGACTCCAGTCTGGAATATAAATTAGACACTGATCAAATGTCAAGAAATGTGTGTTTCTGAGAAGGAAATTAAAGCTGGCTGCATTAATAAACTAGGCTCTAACTTCATTGTAAAATCTGTCTGAGTTGCACATTCAGAGCCTGTCTGCAGAGGAACTTTGCTTAGCAGAATGAATTTCAATAACAAAATGGAGTTAGCAACATCTAGAGAGCTCATCTCAGCTAGAAATGTTAACCCTGCTACTGCCCTGTGGATGCCTGATGCAGGCTCAAAAAAATGCTACCAACAGAATGCAATACATTTAAGATATACTGGAAGCATTAGATGCCACATGCAGAACAGATGGTCTCCGAATGTATTTGGTTTTGTTGAGTTATGTACGTTAATGTTACAGTCATCATTTTTCTTTTTACACACACTCGGCAAAGACAGTTCTGGCATTTTGTGTTTCACCTAAAAATTCTTGTCTGACAGCCCTATCGATATATCGACTACCAGAATACCGTCTGATTAGCTAGAAGGAAAGGGCAGGTTATTTGTATAGCTAGAACCTCCTACTTGAGGTGGAAAAGATACTTTGAAATATCAGAGTAACAGACACTTTCATTTTAGGTGCCAAACAGATTTATGAATCAGATAAAAGACCCATGTGACATTACACAGCAAACGGGGGGGGGGGGGGTGTTTACTCTCCTGAGAGAGACCCCAGAGCCTTATCTGTTGGGGGAAATCTGGACTATGACTGTGGAACTTTTGTAATGGTTTGTGTACATGGGACTTTTGTAATAAATGAACCAAACAAGACCTATATTCACAGTAACAAAGACTGTTTGGATTGTTTTGGAGGACTCTGAAAGGGGAAATTGAGGCAGACCAGGCCATGGCCTGCCGCAGGAGGGTGCGTCAGGCAGGGGCTGCCTTCTCACACATGCTTCCCTGCAATGTATTACAGTTCTAATTACCACGCCGGCCAACTAGAGCCCAGCCCCTACGTCACGGGAAGTTAACACAGAATTCAAGATGTACAACTCCCAACCATAATTCAGGTCACTGCAATGAAAGCAGCCCATTGTGGTGACGGAGCTCGCTCTGGACGCCGTCAAGGGAATTCATCTCCATGTTCTGCCTCAGTGAGGACAACATTTAAACACTGATTTCTTTATTTCCTAATTCATGGAATGGTTTGTGTGTCTTTTATTATTCACATTTATAATTACGACTAAATGAATTCTAAAGAAATTATTAGTCTTCAGATAGTCTCATTAATTCAGATAATTTGCCTTCTGGGGTTTTGTACCAATGATCCTACACATGATGACTTTAATCAAAAGATAATTATAATGAAGGCTTTATGGCAGTAAATTGTTCATAATTCCTAATGGGACTGGTTTCATATTGGAGGATTATTTTCACTGGGACTGTCAACATAAGTCCATTCATAATTATAATTGTGAAGGATTTCACTAATTTTCAACTCACTCCTAACTCCAGTCTCTTCCAAATGAAAAGTTTCTCTTTGTGGTGGGGAAGGAAGAGAGGAATTGGCAGCAAACACTTCTGAGTCCAATGGCAGAGCCTACCTTCAGCTCCTGTGTGTGGGAGGTATAAGCTCTCACTTTCCTGATCGTTTGGGTGCCCCTGAGAACCAAGGAAAGGCGGGTCAGCTGGCCAGTTATGCAGCTAACATCCACACGTTGCAGCGAGTGAAGGTAAAATTGCCAGATCTGAATGGGTGCAGCAAGCCAGGCATCCCTGGAGCAGAGAAAGAGGAGCTTGTTATGACTGTACTAAAGGGAAAGGTGACACTGAATCTTCAGAACCTTCTTAACATCTTCCACCCTAGTCCAGGTTTTGCAAACAGGCGTATTTCAAGAGAATCATACAGATCTTCTTCCAGATTTTTGCTTGTCAGAAAAATAAGTCACGCGCTGGAACCAGTGTACTAGGAATGTTCCATGTGCATTTCCTTATCTGCTCTGACAAGATTTCTGGAGAATTCTCTCTCTTCTACTTTTGGATTCTCTTACTTACGTGTAAATAGCAACAAAGAATTTTTTGATCTGTGGGCTTGGTCCTCCAGCTACTTTTAAGAACACATCCTGTGGCTCCCCAGGACCCTGAGTACAAAATCAGAAAGTGTCGTTAGAATAGTTAACCAAGAGATCAAACCAGCTAATGAGGACCCCAGGGGTTCCTTTTCCCTTTATTTTAACCCCCCACCACTCCACTTCCACAAGCAGAGGGCTCCAGAACCCAGCTAAACTACCCTATTATATTATTATACAGCTTGGCTTCTTCAAACATTTTTAATTACAAAAGAGGATACAAACGGCTCTCACATTCCGGGTCTGTTTCAGTAATTAGATTTTGCAGAATTTCCCTCAAGTTTTCTAACAAGCCATAATCCAATTACCATGCTAGCAGATTTCTGCAATGGCAATTAACAAGCACCTTCATTACCGTCCGCATTTATGTGTGAGTTTGTTTTTCATTTAAATCCCAACCGGCTGAAAATAAAATCCAGGAAACTTGGAATCAGAGCTAAAAATTACAACACAGAGCATATCATGAGCTGCTTTTCTATGCATCTCCCTCTGATGGCCTGATCAAAAGCCCATTGACAGTCAGTGAGAGCCTGTCATTAACCTCCGTGGGCTTTGGATCAGCCCCGAAAGCGTCTCAGTTATTGGATCAGGCCATCAGAGGGAGATGCAGGAGATCAAGCAACACTTGTATGATGGAGAAATATCATCGCCTGAAAGGAAAAGGATCAGAAGTTAGATCGATCGATTTATTTATTTATCGATTGATCGAGTGGCCCTCCTCCCTGTAGTAACTGAGTCTTGAGTACTTGGATGCTGTCTTGGAATATGACACAAAGAGCAGCACCGCAATCCAGTTGAGGTTTTGCGGTCTATTCAATAAGGACACATTTTTACTTCTTTCCTTATTGGAACCTCTGATTTCCGAAGAATTTATCTGTGGCACCTAGCTGGAGAGCTGGTGTTTCCATAAGTGGCAGTTTCCACCAGCATTTCAAATCTGGCCTTTCTTCACATGAACAATGCAATGCAGCATAACAAATTATGGTTTATATTGTGGTATTAAACCCACAAATATGATGGAAGCAGGCTAGAGAAGTTCTGTTCCTTTTTAACAGGGGAGTGAGGCAGTCACAACCTAGTAACACCCAATATTCTATCATTACAGATCAATGAACCATTGGTGCATGGTATCTTTGCTTTAGATAAAGCGATTGATAGAAAAGAGATGGTGAACATAGAGGATAGACTCCATTGGATTGCCGCTTGATTTGTGTAAGTAGTACCATTTTTTTTGTTTCACAAATGATGTTGGGGTCACTGCAGCGGACGTACATCTCCGGTTCCCCACCTGGCATTCCTGCTGGGGCACCTGGGGAAAAAAGCATAAGATGACCACTCTCCCTGCTGTTAGGCATAGGCCCATGTCCTGCCCTCGTTATCAGAAAGGCCTGAAAGCTGGCAAATCTCTAAGTATGTATCTCTTTAAAACCTACAGCCCTGCAAAACAAAACATGGAAACACAAGCAGACACAATATTTGCATGCCAGTTCTCAGCTGAATGCAGACAGTTACCTGGCAAGGTGTACCATGGAGGTAACCGTATGGACTTCTTCAGGAAGGTGAGCTCCGGATGATAGAATCGGAATGTCTGATCCACCACGTGGGGCTGAGGCTCCACATTAACACTGAGAATTGCAATGGGTTTGTCACCACTTGCCTTAAAGGAGATCTGTGCAAAACAAAAAATAATAATGAATTCGTTGAGAGAGAAAGTAAAGAGACCATCAATAAATACTACAGCAGGGGTCGGCAACCTTCCGCATGCAGCCCATCAGAGTAATCTGCTGGCGGGCAGCGAGACATTTTGTGTACGTTGACCATCCGCAGGCACGGCCGCCCGCAGCTCCCAGTGGCCACGGTTTGCCCTTCCCAGCCAATGGGAGCTGCGGGAAGCTGTGGCCAGCATGTCCCCGAGGCCCACATGACTTCCCGCAGCTTCCATTGGCTGGGAAGGGCGAACCGCGGCCACTGGGAGCTGCGGGGGGCCGTGCCTGCCGACAGTCAATGTAAACAAAATCTTTCACGGCCCGCCAGCAGATTACCCTGACGAGCCGCATGCCAGTGGTTGCCGACCCCTGTGCTACAGCAAGAAAAAATAGCACCTCTGGCTTTCATTCCGACTGATAGTGGGAACAAAATCAATTCTCAATCTGTTTACAGCTCTGAAGTAGTTACCACCAAATAGCAGGGGACCTAGGATGCTATAAAGAGAACTCAATTTAAATAAATATGTGATGGTAAAATCTAGAACTGTGAATGGAATCTCCAGGGCATTGAAACCATGCATTTTCAGGGGAGTAGCTTTAAAGCAATATTTGATAGAGGAATTAAAAACCAAGCACAGGATGGTGTCAGAGAGGTCAACAGATATGTTTGCAAACAAAATCCTTTCAAAAACAATGCTGACCATGGCTGTAAAGTCATTGTATTCTTCTCTTTTCATAACAAAACCTGTATGAGAAGCCACACAGACATGACTGGGTTCTAAATAGCCATGCTCACTAAATACATACAAACACATAAAGCCTAGTTATCTATACCCTACCATACTGGTTTGTGGTGGCATTTACAACAGAGAACACGGTGAACATCAGCAGACAGCTCACAACGCATTTAAAGGGATACTACCCTATTTCTATACACTACAATAGACATCCAATGAAATTCAGAAAAGTTTATTTCCTGATCATTAAAAACCTTATGGCCTGCCATAAATGGGCAGTTAAAAGGAATTATATATGTGTAGGCTTAATCTTTGTCATAGGGTTTTGATCATTTGCAATTCACCTAAATGACAGCACTTCTTTTTGCCTCTGTTACCTTGATGCGTTTTGTCAGCATGGCACTGGACTTCCAGGGTGGTGCAGCTTCTGTGCCTTTATTGAACCTCAGCTCAGCAGGGCCCTGCTAAAAATTAAGTAGTAGTAATCATGCAAAGCAGCAGTGCACGTCATGTCACGAATGCATTCTTTGGAATTTTCACCACTGTTTTGATCTAAATCTATAATGTTTAAGAAACCGTATCACAGTGAAAACTAGTAAGGGTAAAATTCTCCTCCCAGAGCCTCCAGCTGTCCCTCTCCTTGTGATCAGCTGCTCTTTGCATACACCAATCAATGACAGCTCCCTGCATGTTGGGAGAGCAGGGTTTCAGAGCAGAGATCCCCTGCGCAGATAACCAGATAACGTTGTCCTGCAAAACACAAAGTGCTCTGCTCTAGAAGAGCTCTCCCTTGCACCTGGGAATTCAGGTACTAACTTTAAAACACCATGAATTGCAAATTTCTTGTTGCTATTGGCCTCTTTGCAGTGTTGTTGAGGAAGTGAGAGTTGCTTTTCTATATTTCTGCATGTTCTTGTCATTGGTGGCTTTGCTAAAATCTGTGAACATCAGTAAAATAGTGCAATGCATTGCAGACAGCATCAAGAGCCTGTTGTCCTCTGAACCTTCTCTTCTGTCCCACTGCTGAGAGTTAGAGGAGCACTCTAGGGTTACATAGCTGGCTTGTACCTCGGCCTAACCACTCTGAATTCTACAAGCACCCAGCAGCTTTGCCTCCCCTATTCATTTATTCCGTGGAATTGAGCTAAAAAGGGAATAAAAGGGAACAATTTGGATACAATCTCATTTTAAAAGCCAGTTTTATGCTTCTAAAGAACAGACTAAGGGTCGCATTCATCCCACTGATGGAGTTACACCAATGAATTTGGCCCTAAATCTTAACACATCAAGAACTGAGAAGCACAGGCGGACGTGAGCCAGTTGCAAAGGTAGAGGGGATTGTTCCCCCTGAAGCTAGAGCCCTGTCTTTAAAATGTAAGGCCTCTCTGTTTTAATCCTCATGTGAGCCTCACAAACACTGTGAGTTTGTTTGCTATTATTATTCAACCACAACAGGTGGACAAGCCACTTTGGCCTCAAAGGCTGAGTCCCTTCTTATTTTTTCCAGTTTTGTGTGCTTTTTGTTTCCTGGTTCTGCTGGGGCCAGAAGAGAGAAGATTACAGAAGAGCCTCTTCCTGACATTTCTGACGTCTCCCAAAGACATTCAGCCATTGCTCCTTGGCAACAAAGACCTGATATTTTTAGGCCCTCCCTTATGAGCTAAGTCATATTTCTGTAAATTTATTGGTGTGATACCAGACAGCAGGAACAGAAGAAAAGAAATGCTATAGAAAGCAATATAAAGAACAGCTGATGTTAAGTGATGTGGCATACTACCCATCACCTGCTAGAAATAGCACTGGTTATAAGATGGGCACAGAAGTTTATACAGTTAGCATCATGTTTAATTCTAGATAATGATGGTAGGCAAATGGACCCTTTCCTCATTGTTTTATTTGTCCTATGTCATAATATAGCAGAAGTGATAGGGTGATATGTGTACCTGCATCATGACAGCGTGGTCTATAGAGAAGGTCTGGTATTTAAATGGAATGTGAATGGTCTCTTTGGGGCGCAGGTAGACCTGAGGCATGAGGTTGTCCTGAAGATGGAACATGTCCTCTTCTACTGGAGTAGTCATTGTTTGGGTCAGCTCTTTGAAGTGTCTCCACTCCCTACTGTCCACAATAACACTGTGGAAAAAAATCAAAGGCAGAGTTACTTTGGGGACAGAACATCCCAGAAGCTGGGGTTCCCCCGATCCCAAAATGAGGCTGTGAGTTATACCTAAACCTCAGTGTGCGGGTTTGTGGGGGGGGGGGGTTGGAAAAAAGACAGTTGCTGGAATGTGCAGGCACATATTAAATGGAAAGAAAAGTCCAAAATCAACCACACCTTTGGTTTGGGAAACAAAGACCTCTCCTCTCCTCGCCCCCAGTACACCCGCCCCTCCCCGAACACTGCACAGTGAGGCACGTGAATTACTGATGGTGGTTGCATTGGTCACAGCTAGCGGCAGGATAACTAGGGTAGATTTGACCTAGTGTGGCAACTCCTTTGTGCTTAGCTTCTCGGTAGCTTGCGTTCTCCCATCCCTGTGGATAGTGATACAGGACGTGGGAAGAAAACAAAAGAAAAGTGAAATCTCTGAATGGGGGGAGCAGATCATTGGTATATGATGGAGTCCTCATCATAGACTAACCCCCCCGCCTTTCCCAATAAAGCCTGAAAAGCAACAAGCTCGATCCCAAGGACACCTCTTGTCTCACGTTTCCATAAGTGCCTCTTTGCTCTGGGCTGGCTTTCCAAGTGTAACGTGCAGAATTTTGGAGGGGAGAAGGCCTTTGGCTCCTACCTCAGCTCAGGGTGGTCGATCTCAATCGTCACTGTGTGCTGGACGTTGTATGGGTTTCTCAGGGCAAACTCAAAGAACTCTGCGGTGCCCAGCGTGGCATAGAGCGTGTAGTTGGTGGTGATGGCCTGACTCAGCATGCTGGAGATGCTCTCGGCCTTGATGCGCTCCCGGTAGGCATCAATAATCTGTAGGTCCCTGGAGTGCTGGATGCGCTCCTCACGCCGGCCCTATCGAAGAAGAGACGCACTATGACTAACAGACTGATGTGGGCCCCTCCCCTGTGTGTCTGAGGATTCATCCGAAGGAATCCGCCCCCAAACCCTGACATGAGAGATGCTACAAGGTGTTTTGTCAGGCCTAGCTCCCGATTGCTCTCTGGTCCCAAGATCGTTTCGACAGCGCTCTGTGCTCCTCACCATGAGGCTTGCTCTCCTCCCGCTGACATCCTCCTGGGCTTCGAGCTGTCGCACCATCATCATCCTCTCCAGCTTCCGCCTGCGGCTGGCGCTGGCCTCGCGGCTGGCGTGCTGGAAGGCCGTGCTCACTTCCTGCAGGCGGCTGAACAGCATGGCAGCCAGCTCGCTGTCCACGTCCGCCAGCTTCTGGGCTTGGGACACGTTCTTAGCTGGGTGCAAAGGAAACAAGCGTCAGAGTCTGGGGCTGAGCGAGTCGGGGGTGGACCCCACGGGGAGCAGTGCAGTAGACCGCTGAGACAGGGAGACGGATGGATGACCTGGGCAAACAGAGGGATATGCTGACTTGAGTTGCCTCAAGCACGCAGGTGTTTGAAGCCGCCTAGATCGGCAAGCAAATGAAGAGGCAACCACCAGGAAGGGGAGCTGAGGAACAGCCGCTTTGCAGTCCAGACTGCTCTTTCCTTGACCAAGCCTCAGTCTGGCCTAAGGGGCCAGTAAAAGCTGAGTAGTCCCAGTAGAAGCCTGGGTAGTAGGTGGAATTGATACCAAGGTCCCTCTCCCAGGGTTTGGCACCGAAATCGGCTGTGAAAGCAACACACCCAGGGCTGTCAGGCAGTTTTTTACATTACACAATTTCTGAAGCTTTCCACAGACAGCCGACAAGTCACATCTCTCCTATATGTGCAGCCATCATGCCAGATCTGAGTGACACATTGCGCTATATTAATTCTCTCTGGCCTGGGGATCCCAACAAAAGTTCCTCTCAGTAGTGACAACGTAACTACGAGGCCTGGATTAAATGCAGAATAAACAACAAGCATGTGGGATTTACGGGACTCTGACAATCGCCAGAATATCCAGATGAACCTAAACAATCTCAAGCCACCAAACGTTCCAGAAGGGAATTCTGTTCCTCTCCCTGAGTTCAAAACCGGCCTGTTTCCTGCTGTACACTATGCACACATCTACGTTTTTATTAAAATGTTCTTTCACTCCTCTCTCTCTCTCTCATTTCTCCACAAAATTGCCGCTGGAGCAGCTCCCAATTGAAGTGCCAGCCAAATATTTAATATGTGAAATACAATCCACTACCAAGCACTTGATGCATGGGATTAAACTCTCTACATGACGTGTAACTCCACACAGAGGCTGTTTGAGTCTTGGTGCATTACATTTTCTTAAAAAATTGGTAAACAAGGGTTATTTGCAAATTACCCACCTGAATTTAATTTTAAATCTATTTAACTGTTTCCCAGACACGGCAAATTGGGTTAGACATCTTGAGCCAAAATGCTCGTATTTTAGCAATAGTCATATTTCAGCAAGTGTCCACAATGTTTCACCTTATGGGCCATGTTAAAAAATTAATGAGAAAGGAGGATGCCTGGCTGGAAAAGCCTGTCTCAGTAGGGGAACTTCTGCAATTTAAAAGCTGAATGTTCTGATATCAAAACCATTCCATGGAGGGTGCATTCATCCAATTCACTCTGCCACATGAGGCCAGCGCACACAGCTCAGCACATAGAGCACTCCACCTGGGACTGTGACACCCAGCCAGGCATTTACATTTCCCATATCTCTGTGCTTCCGAACTCCTGCTGAATTAGAAGCAGGTGTGCTGTGGGAGAGAGGATTCAGACCAGATTTCTGACCCACAAGGGAGAAGTGGAAATCTTGTGCGGGAGCACGTTTTTGAGGGATTTCCAGGTCAGCGAATTTGGATCAAAATCTAAACCTTTGACTTTTCTCTGAACTGAACCTTATGAGGTTCTCTGGTGAAAACACACACACGCACATACACGCTCTCTGAGACAGTCAACTGCCTCTGATTCATACCATCAAAATGTGAGCTAGCTCAACCACCAGATGCGGGCTTGATACAAGAATTCCTGTGCTTTGCAGGAGATCAGACTAGGAGATCATAATGGTCCCTTCTGGCTTTAAAATCTCAGATTCTTCTTCTTCCTGCATTACCTTTTTTAACACTTTGTGCAAAATGTCTAATTCAGTACTTCACATACCTCGTCATAGAATCATAGAAATGTAGGACTTGGATAAGTCATCTAGTCTAGTCCCCTGCACTGAGGCTGGACTGAGTATCATCTAGACCATCCCTGGTAGGTGTTTGTCTCACCTGTCCTGAAAAACCTCCAATGACAGAGATGCCATAACCTCCCTAGGGAATTTGTTCCGGTGCTTAACTACCATGACAGTTGAAAAGATTTTTCCCTACATCTCTGTTGCTAAAATTTAAGCCCATTACTTCTTGTCCTGTCCTCGGTGGTTAAGGAGAACAATTTATTATTCACACTTTATAACAACATTTCATGAACTTGAATACTGTTATCATGTCCCCCCTTAGTCTTCCCTTCTCCAGACTAAATAAAGCCATTTTTTTCAGTCTTTGCTCATTGGTCAGACTCTCTAGACCTTTAGTCAGTTTTGTTGCTCTCCTCTAGACTTTCTCCAATTTGTCCACATCTTTCCTGCAGAGAAAACGCCCAGGCTGGGAATACAACAGTTGTATAAATAGCTCACACATTAGCTTAGACATAGGGCACATCGGGACAACCTGTCCTGTTGACACTCATCAGAAAGTCCATTAAAAGCATATATAGATGCATAATAGTATTTCTGTACCCCCTATCTCCCCTGGAAATTCTGCGTATGGGCAGCTCTCTTTCATTTCACACACCATCTGGAGCTCCTTTGGGAACAGGTGCTTAATTTGATAAAATATTTCAACGACTCTTACTCAAGAAATATACCCAATTCCAGCTGCACAAACGCATCACGGATAGCACAGGGTAGAGAAAGTATCTGTGTGTGTCTGTGCTCTTGTGCACTCGCATCTCAGCACAGATGTGTGTTTAGTGAGCTGAGGAGGAGAATGTGGAAGATTAATGTCTCTCTCTAAGAGCCTGATTCTCATTTACACGATGGCGCAGACTCACTGATGCTGCGAGAGCAGTGTCAAGGGGCCTAAATGTAAACGACAAGCAGGCCCGACGTGTTTGAAAGACGTTACATGCCAGGCACAAAGGCAGGGCTGGGTGAACTGCATGTTAAGCTCATCTGTACCTGGACATAATAAGGGATTCCCATTTGCTGAATGCAACATACACCCCTTCATGGGAAGGAGTTAAATTTGGGCCCAAGATTCTTTGTCCAGGCCTACGTAAAGGCAAGCAGGCCTCAAAACTTCAATAATTACTTAAAGGAATATAATTTTCAACTTGAGCCCTCCCATCTCTAACTACATGGGCTATTGCTGCTCTCTGATGTAGGGGAGTTTAAATCACCGCAAGGCTGAAAATCAGCAGCCATCCCTCACCCTCAGCAGCTGCAGACTAACCGGACCGTAAATTTTACTCACAGGACCCAGCTTCGCAGGCTCAGAGCTGCAGAGTAGAGCCGGATTTTCACAGAGCCAACCTCAGCAAACACTTCGAGTCAATGATTCACAGGCCCCAGTTTCTCACCTCTTCAGATAGCCAGGTGAGACCCATACAAGTGTTTTTCTGACAACAGCTTCATTTCGAGCAGACAAGCAAGGGGAGAGGCTTCTCCCTTTGCTAAAGAATGGACTCATGATGCCGCAGTGCCTGAGCAGCCAAGGATTTACCTCCTGGACCCAACTGTATCTGGGAACTGGAACGAATCGGGTGAAAAGCATCCCCTAATATTGGCTGATGAGAGAGTTCAGCAGAATCCGATTGTAGCTCAGCCTCTCAGTGGATGTTTGTCGGCACCGGCTGAGCAAACATCAGGTTCTGAACATTCACAGCCCAGGGGAACTATTTAGGCAGCAGCTGTACGGGTAGATAGTTTGGGGAACAAAATCCTCAATAACCCACCAGCAGATGGACCACTTCATGCTGATAGAACATATGCTTGTAACATGCTATTGTGGGAGAAAGAGGAAACACCGAGTCCAGGGACCCAGTGCACACGGCACTTGTGTCTTTGAGCAATTGTCGCCTTTGGTACTTTTAATAGCGCACAGGAGAAAAACTATTGCCAGACAATAGCTAGGAGCCGGCGGGACCTACCCCCAGGAGTATTGAGAGAGAGCAGGCTGCCTCCTTGGAAGCTGCTGGTCCCATCATGCGAAGAGACAATGCGAGAGCGCGGGGGTGGCAAGGAGTTTGATTTCTTCAGCCTCTGCTCACATAGGTGACCTGCAACAGAAACACAGAGCTGGTGAAGGTGGGGCAGGTGGGCCTCAGCCACGCCCAGAAAAAAAGCCCTTTGCTATGGGGATCTGCCTCACTAGTATGGAGTTGGAATGACCCCAGCCCAACAATGATCCCCATCCGCGACAGGAGAGAGGCGCTTCTTAAGTTGGACCCTAAAGGTAGCATTTTCTGAAATGCTCCGTTGGCCTAACTTTGCTTCCATTAAAGCCAATGGGAGTGTTCACCATGGCTGCAATATTCACAATAGTACCTAGCACTTATCTAGAACTCAACAGCAGTAGATCTGAAAGCACTTTACAAAGAAGGGAAGGATCATTCTCCCCATTCTACAGATGGGGAAACTGAGGCACAGAAAGGTTAAAGTGACTTGCTGATGGTCACCCAGTATGCCAGTGGTAGAGTTGGGAATAGAACCCCGGTCTCCTCATCCTGTGCCATGGCCACTAAACCACTGAGCACCCACAAGAAGACCTTTGTTTTTAATAACAGTTCAGTGCTCAAGAAGGTGCCAGATGGACATCCCTGGATCCCAATGCCTTCTGTTTATCTCCAGCAGAGACAGCAGCATTGCAAGGTTCACCCACACACAGGGTTAATGTGCTTCAGCCCTGCCCTGGAGGGGCCACCTCTTGGAGCCAGGAGAGTTCTGTCTGCACGGTCCACACTCTATCCGTATTGCTAGCCAGGGGCCAGTTCGTGTCAGTAGGGACAATGGAGCCTGACTGAGACCACTCTCTCATTTCACAGTCCACCAACAGATGGCATTTATTATAATACAGCACATTGTTCCTCCCATGGGCACCTGCTGCCAGTTGCTTCATGTCACTGCAGGACACGGACACCAGATCACAACATGCAGTAAAAAAAATTCCCTGCTGCTATCAACTGGAAAAATTTCAGTGAAATCAAGAATTTGGCCCAATGTATTTAACTTCTATCACAACGATAGCCCAAAACTAACCAGTTCTCTGGCAAGAGAATAAGAGCAACCACTTTTAAAAAGTAATTGTTCTAGCTAATTCCATTTCTCAAAGTTCTGTGTTTAAAGTTCACTTTCCCTTCTCGTGCTAGGTATTTTTCTTTTCCCTTTGTCAACTCTTGACAAACTTCAGGCTGGTTCCTTTCACAGAACCAGAACAAATAATCATACAAATAAATCGACATCCCCCAGAGCAATGTTAATAAACTCTCCATCTGCACCAAGACACGTGACTGAGCCCAGAGAGAGCTGTGTTTACAGCCCGGCACCTGGCAGTTATGGGATAAGATATTACACATATTGATCTAGCACCCCGACCTGAGCAGGTAGCCCATATAATTTAAATGCAGACACTTCAGGGCTTCCCCTTGTCGGAACGAATTTGTACTCATTTTCCTGTGGTATCTGAGCAGAACACAGCATATGCTTTATGACCCTGAAACATAATAGTGGATTTCTGCAGTCACTTAAGAGGACTCTGGTTCATTTATTACTATTAATCATGTTGATTACAGTAGTGCCTAATGACAAACGAAGAGTAGGGCCGACTGTGTTAGGTGCTGTACAAAAACAGAGTAGCCAACAGTCCTGCCTCGAACCGCTGACAATCGAAATAAAGCAGACGGATGCAGGGTGGGGGAGGGGGAGAACAGAACAGCAGAATGAACTATGAGATGGCTGCAGACAGTCTGGAGGTGCCCCAGTTGAGTTAAGTAGTTAGGAGGTGATCAGCTGAATGGTAAGGAAAGGGAAGGGAGCTGGGACTTTAAGAGGGGTGAGTGGGGCAGGCTTGGGGAGAAGAGAGAGGGATAGGCAGGTGTGGAGTGGAAGCAACACTGGGGAAGGGGAACGGGGAAGGTTGGAGCAAACAGACAATCAACACAGGGCACAGTAGGTCCGACAGAGCTGTAGGAAGTCCGCTGAATGGTTCCGGCTGCTTCTGCAGCTGCTCTGACCAACTGGAGCCTCTCTCTGCACCTTGGGTACTTCCTTACACATCAGGCTGCAAACTGGGACAGCGTTACGGACTATCCAAAACATCTTCCTTCTAACCCAGGGAAGGGTATCCAAGGAGGTACTGTTAGGCGCTTTACGGATGAATATCTTTGATTCTTAGTCTACAGGAGCCATCACAGAACCTCACTACAGCCACTGCGAAACCTGCACTCTCTACTGGTGTAATGAAGTTCAGATTTAAGGAGTTGAGGCATCATGTATCTACAGAAAGAGATTTGCTTCCCCAAACCCACACTCTGCTGCATTTTAAAGTCAATTTGCCCACGACTGAAGTAGACAGACATATTTCTTCTGATTTTGTAACAGCCTCTCATAGAATCATAGTCTTTAAGGTCAGAAAGGACCATTATGATCGTCTAGTCTGACCTCCTGCACAACGCAGGCCATGGAATCTCACCCACCCACTCCTGTAACAAACCCCTAACTTATGTCTGAGCTATTGAAGTCCTCAAATCGTGGTTTAAAGACTCTCATGAACTTTGCCAAAGTTTTTCAGGTTTCAAAAGCACCACTGAAAAACGAACGTTTCGGCCTGCTAAACCTTTTATCACTCCAGCTTGCTTCTCAGATGAAGTAAAGGCAATCTGGAATTTGTGAATGTTGTTATGAGGAATGGAAATTATCAGATGAACTGATTGGCTGACAAGACTTGCACTGATAGGCCAAAAACAACACTAAACATTTTGGTAAGACAAGGTCAAGTCTGGGAGACTTAAAACATGGTCTTGCTTTCTGAGTGAAATTTGCACTCCCCAGTGGTTGCCACTGTAGAAAATACATACTGTGGCCATGCCAACATGGCCACAAGAAAATGTGCCTGTTAGAGAAAAGTTCTATAGATTTTAATAGCAAATGATAACTTTTCTCTGGGTCTTTTGGACCTGGCTATGCATTTAATAGAAAATTAGATCCCTGCTATAGAATTCTGCAGGATGGTTTAAAAAGAAGTCAGCAGTAACAAATAGATTCATGTCCCTGTTACATTTTATAGATTTTAGGGTGACTGCTGTAGGACCCTGTTAGTTTCATCACAATTACATTTTTAGGATCTTTCCCATTAGGGACAGGATAACTGTTCCCATTAACTAATGGTTTAGACATTGTGTTGGATTTTTACTATGGGTCTTTGCAGTATGTAAGTGACATATTTTCTTTATTGCTACCACTGAAAATACATATCTTAACAGAGACAATAGCTGTCCAGAGTCCCTGGAGCTAGGGTGAGGGGCTTTCATTACCCACAAGAAGCCCAAATACTCCCTGGCATTTGCTTGTATCACTGGCAAAGTTTATTATTCCAATGTCTCTTCCTTCCACATACTAGCTATTATATCAAGTGAAGAAAGACTAGCCCTAACACTGATCTGTTTACTGTCTTGTCACCTCTCTATGCTGTTGTAATTACATCCATATATAGGCTATCCCAGACTGCACAGGATGAAGTTGTAAAGTTGTCTGTGGATTCACCTAACCGACAAATGCACTCTGTCCTTCAGATAAAAGCTCCATAACTGTGGAGAATTTGGGAGACATTTGGCTGCAGCACCTGACATTGTTTTTCAATATTTAGGGCTGGATTCCAGCGGGCCCTGTACAAGTGTCTAGGGGTGGGCCCGAAGTGCATTCTCCTCCCCACGCCCCTGAGCCTGGGCACACCCTTTCTGGGGAGCAGAGGAATTGCACCCAGCTGGGGCAGCTCCAAAGCGATGGGGTGAAGACCGGACCATGCCAGAGCCCCCAACATGCAGAGAAGAGTGCACCCTGCATGCTTGCAAGAGATGGCAGAGCTGCTGATTCAAGGCATGCCTCCCCACAGCAAGCTGGGAAGAATTCTGGCACAACAAAGAGCCAAGTGTTAAAACTGCACAACCCTTAACATTTGAGCTGTGATGTCATCTGCGATGAGACCATCCACCTTAGAGTTTGTAGGAGGGTCTTCTGTAAACACAGGGGGTGACGTATTGTTGCAGTGTGTGATTAACTGTCAGAAGACAGGATACCAGCTAAATGGACCATTGGTCTGACCCAGTCTGGCCGTTTTGATGTCTTAGGACCTACAAAATATAGGTATTAAGGTGACTGGCACGATGCAAAATACAACAGCTAGATACAGCTTTGGAATGGAAGGACATTCTAGCAGTTATATGTGTACCCTTTTTTCATGTGTACAACTCCTGCAAATGCGCCGTTAGCAGAAGTAGCTCAAGCTGTTTAGGCAGCTGAGAATATTAACCCGGACAGTGAGAACATTAACATTAACCACCAGGGCACGCGCCCCGAAGCTCTCACAATGTTACGGACAGTGTCAGTGCAACTCTGCCTCAGCCAGCTCTGCTGAGAACGCTGCCCCTGGGCTTACAGGAGTTCACACGTTCTCCCAGTGGAAACCTGCAACCCTATGGAGCTCGTCTCTGAGAGGTATTTAAAATTACCTTGCTGATCATTTCTACCGCACCAAAAATCAGAAAAATATCATGCTATAAAGATGCCATTTAACTCCATTCACAGCTAATCCCTCCTAGCACTTCAGTGTGAATGGCAAGGGGAGGATTAGCCAGAAGCTTCTTTTCCTGCAGCTTAAAGGGTTACGGTCACTTTAAAAAAAAAATCACTTTGATGGAAAACGTTACGAGTAACAGCCAAGATTACTGAAACTGAAGGAGATTTAAGACCTCTTTTCCAGTCTGTTTACTGTGCACATGACAGCACTTCCTGCTCAGTCAGTATTGCTGAGGCTCCTGGATGGTCAGTTTCCCCGTACTGTTTGTGTGGGTCTTTCACACAGCAACCAGGGGGAAGAGCATTTTAAAAAAACAGGAAAATGAGAAAATTGGCAATGGGAGCCAGGGGTAGGGGCAGTATCTGAAATTGCTTTGAACTCACTTTCTGAAACGGATTAGATTTCAAACGGACGATGTAGTACGGAGCAGAAATGGGTGTAGCAGGCAAAGACTGGAATGCAAATGCCCTTATTTGGCTACGTTTAGCCCCACTTCTCTGCCCCTCAACGCCATCCAGTTTACACAACGGGCCTGCTGTTCAACGCTTCGAACCCCAGTATTATGAGGGATTTTAAAAACCAGACTAATATTATTTTGAAATCAAACACAATTTGCCAGAGAAATCAGAGTGACGGCTGTACTGATATAGTACGGTGGGTGTTTCGTTGTTGTTTTGCTAGTATTTGTCCTTTCTTAATCAGTTGCCTTTGCTGGGTTTGCACTGAACTGTTCTCTGGGTTATGAATCTCGGACTCTCCTCCCTCAGAGCTTATCACACTCTTGCAGGCAAAGTGTGAAAATGACAATTTAAGAGATCATATAATGGAGCTAATCTTTCTTCTGAAGATAAGATTTTAAAACCTGGAGTCACTGCACGTTTATAAGATGGTGAATTAAATATATATAAAAAGTACCTAATAAATTCTAGGAAACAGTGTTCTTACAAGTTTGGTTTTCTTATAGGTACAGCTTTGTGCATCTTGTCTGTTTCTCCCATGTTTCGGAGTTATTTTGCTAGCACCTAATTGAGTGTCGCTGTTTCCATATTGTCTGTTTCAAAGCTGCCTTAGCTTGTACATTTGTAAACAAGCAGGCAGAAAACTCAAAACAGAACTAATGAGCTGTGCATTTCCTCCTCTTTCTGTAGCCTGGTGTTATTACTTATTGTAGGCGGAGGGTGGGTACAGGATAATCGGAGACGGGCATTTAGAACCTGTTGATTTTTCTCAAGCAACTGAAAAATCTCTGAACAGCCCAAGCCCAGAGCTCTGCTGGGTCTCAAGAAAGCATTTTCTTCCCTCAGATGCACAGGAACCTGTAGGTCCAGATCCATCGCTCCAATGGCATCATGGGGGTGCTTTTCATTTTGCCAGCATGAAACAATTTTGGGAATACTGTGAAGAGTTACAGCCATCTTTAGTGCAGAACCCACTAGTGGCAGTGGGCAGAGGCAGTTCTGATGCAGCGTAGCCTTGATGTGACTCTCACAGGCTTCCAAAGAAGGGAGAGAGCAGTCTGCCCTCGGGGACAGAAACAGGTGCAGAGGGATGGCTGATTGAGGGCGTTACAAAAGGCACTCACAGAAGCATTGAAATTAGACAAACTTCTAGCACCACCATCAAATTATCCCCAGCTCCCATTTCATGGCTGGTGAACAAACACAACGCAACTCAGAAATGCTGAGAGTCGGCTAATGGAAACTCTGGGTTAGCTAGACACCCAATCTGTCCCTCGGGTTGCAATGTCAGGATCCTCCCTTGTGTGTGACAGGTTTCAGAGTAGCAGCCATGTTAGTCTGTATCTGCAAAAAGGAGGACTTGTGGCACCTTAGAGACTAACAAATTTATTTGAGCATGTGAGGGTCCTAAGCTTTGCAGGCTTCATACAAGCTCAAGAGCTTAGCTTCAGCACTGAAGGCCAGTAGGGTAACACTTCTGATGGTGACTAGCATTGAGATCACCTTTCAGTAGACCTTTAACTAACAAGCTGCTGGATGTCTGGAACCATGCTGAGCAATCGTATTGCTGGAAAAGGCGCATGGAGCAGAAAGCTGGCCACTGCACTGGGCTCTGCTCCTGGCGCAAATCTGATTTTCAGAGGTGCTTGTCACCTGTACGTCCTATTGACTCTCACTCAACACCTCTGAAAACTCAGCACCTCAGTAGCCCCAGCTGTACAGCGGGGACAGCATGGCTTTTCTACCTTAGCACCTGCATAGCGCTTTTCAACTGTATCAAATCAGCGTGCAAAGTATTATTGCATCCTGGTGCAGGTAAAAGCATCTCTGTTTTGGGAGGTGATCGATCTGTGAAGATGGAGGGGGGAAGGTAACAGATCAGCCACCAAAGAGATTCCCAGCGATGCCCCAGAATGGTGCTGGAACTGCAATGATGAAGACAACCAGCAGAGTTAAGTGTCTAATGAGCATGCTGAAGAATACATAAGAAATCTTGAGTTACTTTCTGAAAGAAACAAATTTTCATCAGAAAACATGGTGAATCAGCCAAAATAACAGGGATTCTTACCAACGTTGGCCAAACTCAGGTGAAGTCGGCCTTTCACAACAACGTAGACTCCTATGGGCTTCACAGTGCCGTGTCTGAGAACGTCCCCACTCGTTACTGTTGTGTCCTGCTCGTATTCGGTTGTCATCACCTCCAGCTCATGATGGACCTGAACTGCTGTCCGACCCTGGCGAAGCAAGTGCTGTGGGGCAAGAGGAACATATCCTGAAGCCAAAAAATGTGTGTAGCTGTTACTGTCAGGAGGCATTGTCCAGAGTGGTACACTGTCCAGGAGAGACCATTGAGAGACTCAGGCAAGAATCAGAGAAACTTCCATAGGAGATGTAAACTGCTGTACAATTAAACCTGATAATGAAACCCCCCCATCCTCACCACACACACTGGCCATAGCACAATCGTTGCCTAGAAATGGAGATGATTATTCTGGCCATTTGGACAGAAGGCCATTAGCACTGGTAACTGCATTCAGGAGTGAGGGGAGGGAAGTGGCACCTGATGGACTGGATGCCTTAGGCAACTCAGAGCAGGATACAAACCTTTCACCGCTAGGTCACTGAGCTGAATCCAGACAGCGTAACAGCGAACAGCAATTCTCACTCCCTTGGGGCTGTTTGGTGGCCTGTTCGCAGGGAATTAGGGAGTTTCAGACCATTTCCCAGGGCACAAGTGTCTACACCACAAACCACCTCCTGCCTTTTGGCACTGGTTTTCCCTCTTTGTTGGCAACCTCGGTGGAGAAGCAGAGGAGTCAAGGGGCACAGGGACTGGCCTGACCTTGCAGTGCGGGTGGTGGTTCTCCAGAACAAGAATGAGGCACCCTGGCGGGCCAAAGTAACATGTGCTGCTCCTGCCCAGAGTGAGCTTCTCCTGTGAATCAGCGGAGACTGTTTGTTCTCACGCCTGCGCAGGCCCTCCAGCGGCACAAGGAACCTCAGAGCACGACATTTTTTCTAAAGGTCTTTTTACACACTCCGACAAATCGTTCAGATTTTAACACCAAAGAAATTAATGCACATTTGTAAGAAACTTCCTGAACTTACCCTACCCAGTAGCCATTCCTGCCAGCTGCAGCCGGGTTACTATTTTAATCCCTCCTTGTAGAGCAACAGAGCCTAGAGCAATTCCCCATTCTGTTTGGTGCTGTACAAACACAACCAAAGAAGGTCCCTTCCCCAGAGTTCTTATACTTCGTAAGTAGAGATTCTGGGCTTTTTCTCCATTATCAGCAGCTATGGACTTAGTATGGGAAAAGTTTCATACCTTCAGCTTAACTGCAGCAGATCCAATGAGGAGCAAAGAATCTCCATCCCAAATATCAATCTGTAGGTTATGGTCAGCTATATAACGTATAAACCAGCGTTGTTCTCCTGGCTTCAGGAAACCAGGATCCACCATATACTTTAGCTGCAACCCTGGAGATCCTGCAGGAAAAAGAGTGTATTCCTGACAAAGTAAATTAACCCTCCATGGCTTCTCAGGAGATTCATTGTTATCAAAGGGACCCCTGTGGCTCCCAGAACCAGTACAGCTGTCTCTGAGAACCTCACAATCTTTACTGTATTTATCCCCACTACACCCTTTGTGAGGCAGGGCAGGGCAGGGCCATTATCCCCATTTTATAGATGGGGAACTAAGGCATAGAGTGACTGTGATATGCCCAAGGTCACAGAGGAAGTCTGCAGGCACAGCAGGAATTGAACCTATATCTGCCAAGTCACACACGAGCACCCTAGCCACTGGATCAGCTTTCCTCTTGATAGCTGTAATTTCATTCTCATAAACATATGGATCAAACCATTTATGAACTCCCTGAATCAGTCACTTTTAAATTCATTGGGATTGACATCCACCCACAAAAAATTAAGTTTATGTGGATTTTCCTTATTAATTTTCATTAACTATTGCACATGGGGAAGGAACTTTACAAACTAAAAATGCTCTGTAGGAGGTGGGACATTAGTTTTGCATCTCTTGGGACAAAAATTTAATAAGACATTCAAAAAACCATTTTGCTAAGAGAATCCGATTGCATTACTACAGGCTGGTTGCTTAGATGTGTTGTGTCTCCCTCTACATCTGCTTAGCTATCACTGGAGTCAGCAGTCTACACTTCTGAATCGTGTCACTGACACGTATTGATGTTTTGCCTTATGGCTTGACATTTTGAACACTTTTAATTATATGGTGTATAAACTAATGGAAACTTGATATTATAGCAGATACTAGTCCATTACCTTGACTTGGAGCTAAGCCTAAATCTGATTGACAAAAATCCCATTTGAACTATTAAAAACTGTAATTTAAGTCTCCCAATGGATTTTCCTCTTTACTATAATATACTAGCCAAGCAAGAAAAACAATTTTGCTGATACACTGCAAGAAAGGCTTAAAGCATTGGCACGTTTCAGTATTCATTTTTAAACCCTAGAGCAAGGCCCAGTTGATTGGAAGAATTTAGCACCCGAAGAATAGAGCTAGAAGGCTTGTGGTCCATCTGATCTAGCATCCCATCTCCAACAGGCAGACACTTCAGAGGAAGGTGCAAGAAACCCCATAGTAAGCAATTGAAGAACGATTGGGCCATAGGGAGGTTTTCCTCCTAGCCCCAATCAGTTAACATGGAGATTTATACCCCTTATAAATCTATATCCTCTCTGCTGTAACTGTGGTTTTCCATATACTTGTCTAGTCCAGTTTTGAATTCTGCTAAACTCTTGGATTAAATGATTTGTTGGGGCAATGAGTTCCACAAGTTAGTTACGCATTGTATATAAAAAGGTTTCCTTGTATCTGTTTTAAATTTGCTGCCTTTTAATTTCATTGAGTAGCCCCTTGACCCAGGATGATGACAAAGGGTAAATCAGAGTGCCTTATGTACTATCTCTACCCTGTTCATTATTTCATAAAGCTCTGCCAGGTCTCCCTTCAAACTGCACAGACTCTGGAGTATTTGGACATCTCATATAACTCCCAAACAATTGGCTACATCCTCCAGGACTTCCTCAGAGGACATACCATCTGGCAAGTGCTGAAACATTCCTCCTTCTTCAAAAACCCTTCCTCCACTAGTGCTTACCGCTCTTGAGGGTTCCGTCTTTGTTGATCTGGAATAAGGTATGGGAAGATGCATCTGAACTGGCTGTCCCAGACCGGTCCATCTTCACCAGCTGCAATCGTGGTGTTGTGACCGGTGGGAAACGGTAAAACTGGAAGGTGAAATACATAGTCTTTGGCCATGTTGTCCCCATGCCATCCTGTGGGATCCTTGACCAAAAAACATCTCTGGATTAACTCCTCTTGTTACAGACCCAACAATTGGTATGTGCTTTGCAAGTGCTTGAGAACCATTGGAGAAGCAGAAGAACTGGGGAAGATCCATGATATTAAGTGTATTCAAACTGGTTTGGGAGGCTTCCTTTGAAGCCATCGTGACAGGAAGGACAAGGTTTGGGTTTTTTTGCTTTCAATAAACTGGTAGTACAGGTGATTTCTGCTCTTTGGTACAGAGTTCCCAGCTTCCAGACCAGGTGGGAATGGTATTTTACTTTCAGAATTACAGTGCCCTGTAGTCAGTGGTAAATAGACAAATGTTGCATAATCAAGATAAAACCACCATTGCAGAAAAACCTTTCCAAGTGAAGCTTTCCTGTCTGTAAATAAGGAGTTACTCAGTAATTAATTTTACATTACAATCTGGCTAATGTGAACAAAAAAATTAATTTGGAACGGGCTCAGTGTATAAAACAACATCTAAAATGGAAATGTTCATTGTCTCACAGGCACTTCTGGTGCTTTTGTTACTATGGCAGTTGCTCACACATGCCTCAGCCAAGCAATGTGAAAGTCCTAAGGAAGGGGCACAGGAGATGGATACAAGGACCTTTCAGAATCATCAAGCCAAAGAGCAGCACGCAGATCAGTAATGGAAATGGATGCTATTGCAAGAGGAGACGTGAATCCAACCTGAAAATGGTGCAGTGGGATTTCAGGGCATTACCTGGTGAAGGCAAGGAACTGCAAAATGATTTCATTGCTTTGCAAGAAGTCAGCTTCTTCCCTTTGAGGGTTGAAGTCCACAGGGTCTGCGGGGTCCACAACTTCTGCTGGCTCCTTGTTACAATCCAGGATTTCCGGAAAGCCAGCAGCATGCAAGCGAGATAGAGAGGCCCGAGTGAGGACAGTGCTAGAGCTGAAAGAGAAATGGCTTTGAGTTTCCTGGGACCCAGACGCCATTGGAATCCTGACCCTTTCTGCCAGGTCCCTCCTGGACGGGGTTCTGTGTGAGTCAGAAGCATTTAGGGACATCTACCGTAAGAGGCAGGATGACGGGTGCGGGACTGTTGAACATCACTGAACTCCACCCCCCTGGGCTAGCATCGCTGAGGCAGCAATTCACCCATTCCCACTCCAGCTACCATTAACCCTGCCTTAGAGCCTCACCTTCCAGTCTGTGCTCCCATGGCAACAATCGGCGCGTGCACGGGAGTGAATGGCAGCTCCTGCAGCTCGTCACCTGCAGAGGAATCCAGGATCAAGTAGCTGGGGCTGAGGTCAGCCTCCAGGTGCGTTATGCCACGGCTGCTGCCTCCATATGGGAGCTCCTGCTGACAAACAAGGGCGCCCCCATGAAACGGACCGTCCCCATATGGGTGGCGATAGAACGCAGCGAGGGGCAGGGCTCGGCAGGGCACGCTGAAGGAGCTGCCCGAGCTCCTGCTTGTCTTCCTCGCAGGGCAGTCTGGGGGTAACAGATGCAGTGCAGGCAAACAGTTCCCCATCTGTTCTCAGCAGAAGTGTTGTCATCACAGTCCTGCTCAGCTGAGCCGATGAGCAGCGCCTTTCCTATCTCATATACGTTCTAATGCACAGATCACCGGGCAGGGCACAAGCAATGGGGGATGGGCAGAACCCAGGAGTCCTCCCTCCCAGCACAGCACCTGATGCAGCCTCTCCGTAAAGGAAAGTGCTCCTGAGCAGACAGGGTTCATGCATTCTCACAAACCTGGCTTTTCTACATTTTGAATTCAGATTTCCCACATTTATTTTTGGCTGCAATGACCACAGGAATGAGTGAACCTGGCCTAGAATGTACTGTATAGCTCTGTGGGAAGGGACACACTCCAAACACATGTGGGTAGGAATATCCCTCTCTGCAAGGGCTAGCCAATGCAGGGGCCACCACATAAACCCAACTAGGAATCCTTACTGCACGTTCACGTCGGCGCATCCCAGGGGAGAGGAGGACTGGAGAGCCAGTTTGCCGTTGCAACGGGGGTTTGGATGAGTGGTTTACAGGAGGAGAATGGGGTGATGCAGACAACTGGGATATCGACAACTGAAAAGAAAATTATGATAATTAAGATGATGGTATTAACTCTACTAATGAGGCTGCTGAAGGAGGAACTGCCAAGGTGCAATCTGGGCTGTGGAAAATCTTGCTGGATTAGGAGGGCCAGAAACTCCAAGATATGCTGGCAGTTTATTTTAAATGGTCTGTGCAAATTTAAATGGACAGGAACGACCGAACTGAGCTACCCCTCTGTGGTTCAGATATGCAGCACAGCTCGGGCACTTATGGGTGCTGGACATGCCTGAACTACGTTTTGTAATTCAGCTGTTGATGCTGCAGCGTGCTGTGTGTGGTTTCGCAGAAAAACCCACACACGTTTGGTGAGATGCAGTCGTCTCACAATGCACGCTCGTGAAGTATTAAATTTCATCAAAAATATCACTGTGTAAAGATCTCTGTAACAAGAAGGAAAAACAACAAAAAGGCTTTCAGTGTTTGTGCTTAAATCCTGAGAACTATCCATGCAAAAATTATATGTCATTGTCAATACACTTCCACTGTGCTATAGAGCAAAAGCCTGCAAATCTGATCTGCTGCAAATGACCCCCTTAACAAATAAAAAGTCCAGGGCCTGAGAACAGCTCAGAGATTTCTGCCCAGCAAATTATATGTAGACTCTGGTTTGCTGCTTCTGGGGACATGGATTATAGCAGGAAATTGTTGTAGTTTGGCCACAAAGACCTGGGAAAGTGATGCTAGTGGGATATCGGCATAACTCAGCGAGCTGGATCACGCTATATGAAAATAACTATTTTCAAGGAAATGCTGCTGGGTGGCTAAACCTCTCCTTCTACTTTATACACTAATCATGTCTGTGTGTGGACATTTCACACTTTACTACCAATTAGGCTGGTTCTCCACAACAGTATTTTTCAGGGCCTTATTGATGGGAAAAAATTCGACCTGAAACAAACAAACAAACAAACCCATAGAAGAATTATTTTTATTAGTCTTATAACTTAATGGCAATCGAGAAGAAGGTAAATATGGGATCAAAGAGAGATGAGCAGCAGAACTGGTTATTTCAAAGCCTGCCTTTCATGCGGTATCATGTACAAATATGATTTATGAAATACTCACTTTTCTTCTCGTGATCTTCAAGGGCAGATTACAGTAGCCTAAACCTTGGTCATCTATCACTGCAGACAACTATAAATTTCTCCTTTCTGCCTTCTCCTGGGCTACACAAATGACCACTGCAGACGTCCTCTTCTCCTGGCACTCTAACCAAGTCACCCCTCCTGATCGCCTTTCTTTGCCTCCTTGTCTCTTCTCGATCAGATTCAAACTCCTTTATCAGTAGTGACTGGGCCATGCTTCTCCGTGATGTCACCCCATTAACTAACTAGAGTTACACCAGAGGGAAACTGGACCTTTAGAATCTTCACGTTTATCCCATTACTGATTTGAAAACATAACCTTTAAAAAAAGATCAGCTGCAACATTTCCCCTCCTTGGCCCCTTTCCAAGAATGAAAGACTCAAACTAAAATAATTGATGCTTAAATCTAATGTCCCAATAAGGCAACTGCAGATAGCCCATGTTGCCCCATCAGGCACTTACCCCAGGTCCTTGGGGATAGTCTTGAGTGGAAACCAACATCTGGGGTGAAGATGGTGCACCTACCGGGAAGCAGAGACAAGAGAAGGTGCAGTGAGCCTCCAGAACAGCCAGAGATCTAGCTGTCGGATTGATTAATTGGCTTTAATGGAAACAAAATTTTGCATTTGAAGTTTTCATAGATTTCAAGAATGGAAGGGACCATTGTGATCATCTAGTCTGACCTCCTGTATCAGACAGGTCAGAGAACGTCTCTCACAGAATTCTTAAAGCAGAACTTTTAGAAAAACATCCAATCTTGATTTACAAATATTCAGTGATGCAGAATCCACCATGACCCTTGGTAAATTGTTTTAGTGGTTAATTATGTTCACTTTTAAAAATTTACACCTTATTTCCCATCTGAATTTGTCTAGCTTCAACTTCCAGCCACTAGATTGTGGTTATATCTTTCTCTGCTAGATTGAAGAGTCCATTATTAAATATTTGTTCCCCATGTAGGTACTTACAAATCAAGTGATCCCTCAACTTCCCTTTGTTACACTAAATAGATTGACCTGTTTGAGTCTGTCACAACAAGGCAGGTTTTCTAATTCTTTAGCCCTTCTTGTGGCTCTTCTCTGGACCCTCACCAATTTATCAACATCCTTCTTGAAATGTGGGCATCAGAACTGGATGCAGGATTCCATCAAGGAATGAACCAGTGCCAAATATGGAGGTAAAATCACCTTTCTGCTCCTATTCGAGATTTCCCTGTTTCTGCATCCCAGGATCGCATTAGCTCTTCTGGACACAGCATCACAGTGGGAGCACAAGTTCAGTTGATTATCCACCATGACCTGAAATCTTTTTCAGTCACTGCTTCCTGGGATAGAGGCCTCCCTGTAAATGTGGCCCACATTCTTTGTTCCTAGATGCATGTATTTACATTGAGCTATATTATTTATTTATGATTTCTTTCAGGTCATTAATAAAAATATTAAATAGCGTAGGACCAAGAATCAGTCTCTGAAGGATCTTGCTGGAAACATACCCATTGGATGATGATTCCCCATTTACAATTACATTTTGGGACCGATCAGCTAGCCAGTTTTTAATCCATTTAATGTGCTCTTTTTAAACTGTTGGATGCAAGTTATCTGGACCTGCTGATTTTAAAATGTCGAACATTAGCAGCTTCTGTTTTAACAGCCTTCAGAGCCTCTAGTGGAATGGAAAGAGTGTTACCATCACCATGTGATGAGACTATATCAGCTGTTTTTCCTCCAAATACAGGACAGAAATATTTATTGAATCCTTCTGCCTTTTCTGCATTATTATTGATAATTCTACCACTTCCATCTAGTAATGGACCCAATACCACTGTCAGGTTTCTTTCTGTCCTAATATATTTTTTTAAATCCTTCTTATTGTCCTTAATGCTGCTGGCCATAGACTTCTCCCTGTGTCCCTTGGCTTCCCCTATCAATTGTCTATAATTCCTAACTTTTGATTTATATTCATTACTATCTACTTCCCCTTTCTAATATATTATTTTTTGAAGCTGCCTTCACTTTCTCTGTAAACCAGGTCAGTTTTTTAACCAGCATGGCCTTCTTCCTCAGTTGTGGGATTGTGCATCTAGTAAGTTGTTCTTAAATTATTCTTAATGATCATTCAAAGTTTTCTGATTAAATTCTTCCTCCCAGCTGACCTGGTGAAGACACTTGACTACGGGGATGTGAGATGCTGTATTTCAGCCATTTGGCTGACTTAAACGTTTGCAATAGGGATTGTCACCTGGGGAAAAAACGTGTAGCAGATTCACTGGTTTGATTTTTGTTTTTTTAAAGGGAAGTCGGCTAGATCTGCCATTTAGTGCTTGCCTGTTGTAAAACACAGATTGTCTATCGCTAGACAGTACTGCCTTTTCCCTTGAAGACATGTGGTACTGGCTAAGTGGGTTGCTTAATGAGACGTGAACGTTTTGGGATACTTAAGGTTTTCCTGGCTCTTCTATTATTTCTTGTCACTATTTCATCTGTTTGTACATTCATGCCCTGAAATTGCCTGGGTTTTGTTGTGTTTATCTTTGGCTAGTCTACTTGTTCTCTGGCACTAGATGAACTTACACTTCTACGAAGCAAGAAATCCTTTCACACAGCCTCCACGCACAGACATTTTCTGGCCATGCTGAGACTTAGTTTTGCTTTCTCTAATTCACACATTCCAGATATTTAACTGGGAACATTTCCCAAAGAAACTAGTGAGTTTCCCTTCGGCCAAAATTACTGTGTTCTTTTGATTACAATGGATTTGGCCATTAAAGAGGGTGCATTATTAGAAATGCACAAGGCTCAATAGTTTTCAGCACAGGAAAGGAGTAGGAGAGGTTTCTTGCTAATCATAGGCCACTAGATCAGTGACTTAGATATATGCAAGAGTCGAGTTATGGAGAATATTTTAGCAGATATTAACCTCGCATCAATAGGAGGAGACAAGTATGGTTAATAGTAAAGAAAGGCCAAGTCTGCCGAGGATCTCTGTGATTACTAGTAGTGGGTCACTTTCAAATGGTTTAGTAAAGCTAGGTGACCATATTTCCCTATGCTGAATATGGGACAACTGGTAAAATTACTTATATTCAAGCAAATTCAATGGCAATCGTACAAATTGAAATGTTCAAATCAAACCAAGTTGACTCAGCCCCTGTTAAAAAGTAATACTGCATAGTTGGATTCTTTTTATTTACCTTCTTACCTTTAAAGCTTTAGGGTTCACATGGGAGAGGGGTGACACAGACTCCCGTACACCTCTCTCACACAGCAGGGGTGACAAACCGACCCAACCCTCCCTGCCTGGTGCTCTCCACCCTCCATGCCTGCCTGGGCCCCCAGGATGGACCCGCCTCTCCTGGTATCTGGCACCACGTTTTCCCAAGAAAACACGTGGGGCGGGGCGGGGAGCACACAGGGTCACATGGCCCCCTTCCCCAGATTTCTGCCCGGGTTCACACCAGAATGTTGCCGGCAGCAGCCTTTCGGCACTGGGCGGGAGGGAAGGGACGGGAGCTGCTTCCAGACGCGTGCCGGGGAAGTGGGGAAGGGATGACCTGGCCTATGTCTTTGCAGAGCTCATCTCTCCTGCTCCCCCTGGGGCTGGAAACAGCTTGTCCCTTCCTACCCGCACAATGTCAAAAGGTTGCTAAGATATCCAGGCTGATGCTGGCCATTGACATAATGCAGACACCTCCTGTCCCCTGGCTACAGCATGGACAGGAAGGGGCTAAGCCCTAGGGATCCATTGTGCTACAGGGCCCAGAGAACCTGACGGCAGGGGCTTCAGTGAACTGGGCTAGAGGGGTGGCTCAGCAGGGGAGGGTGCCTAGGGATGGAGCAGCCCCCGTGCTCTCTGGGGGCAGGACCCAGGGCAGGTGAAGAGGGTGCTTAAGCCCCCGCCACAGGAGCTACTGTGGAACCTGAAGGTTCGGGGCATGAACAGGCTGGAAATTGCTTCCCCGCCCTTGCTACTCCAGAGGGGCAGAGAGGCTTCCCCTGCCAGCGCTGTGCGGCGGCTTTGGCTCATGCACGGCTCAGCTCCTCCTGGCCAGCACCCCAGGCTGGAAGGTCTTGGGCTTTCCCGGGGCGCCGGCCCAGCCAGAGGCGGTGGGGGAAGGAAGGGGCCTGACAGCCAGGCTGCTGGTGAGCTGAGCGCTCTGACCAGGGGCTGGGTCTCCACACAGCGCTGGGAGCAGGACGTGCCCCACTGGGGAGGATATGGAGGAGCAGCGGGGGGCGAAGGGGCAAAGCAGGGAGAGGACAGCAAGAGCGGAGGCACATAAAGGGCTGACAAAACTGCTGCCGCCTGCCCGCACTCACCAACCCGCGCAGGGTGCAGCCAGTACCGGCCGGTAATGGGTGGGAGGCTGGGCCCTGCTGGCCAAGAGCCGGCACGCAGCAGGGGCTGCACTGAAGGACCAGCAGGGAGAGCGGCCGGCCCCGCACGCTGCATCTTTGCCCCACCCCCAGCCTTGCCCACGTACCCCATTGTTGCCCACTGAACGCCCCTCACCCCCCACTCACCACTAGTGGGCGAGTGGCTGGTGAGCAGGCATCCGGCCAGCAGCAGGACCTGCCAGTACTGATGGGGGGGAAAGGAGGGAGTCTGAAAATACGGGACAATTTGCCCGCTTTTAAGAAAAAGTCGGGACATCTGAAGGATGGTTTAAATACGGGCCTGTCCCTTTAAAAACACCACGTAAGCATCCGAACATTCCGCTGTTGTCCCAGATCCTATCTGAAGTATCCCATCCTATTAGGTTTGCCGAACCGCCTTGCAAATCTCAGGAGACCAGGCCTCCTGGAGGGATTTCTACTCCGTCTGCTCTCGGATGCCTTGTATATGCCACAGGAAGAGCCCCACATGAAGCATTTTGCAATTTCTACCGTACACGGGTATCAGGAGGGGTAGAAACACCAAAAAATGGGAAGAGTGTCAACCACTCAGTGCAAGTGAGAGAGCGCCCCGTGTCAGTTCTCCATTCTCCCCAGCCTGTTTGCCTGCCTCTAGCAATGGCAAAGGCAAGATTTCCGTTTGATCTCAGAATTCGGACTGCTGCTGCCAAGAACAGCAGGGTTGGTGTGGTAGATAGGAACTAGGTATCATCCCTTTAAACAGTTTGGGATCCCCCTTGTGGTTCTCACTGTGTTCTATGTTTTAGAAACCACCAGGACACAACCAGAGCAGCAGGTGTTTAGCTGGGCCCTGTAGTGTTGTGTATATGTAGCACTGTTATTTGGACCCCCTCAGCATGCCCATGGAGTTTCTTCCTATTATGTAAGGAGTAAAAGACATCAGTTTGTGGCACAACAAGCAACCGGACTGACAGGAGGTCTATCCAAGCTTCTTTGGCCATGAAGTCCCGATGCCAGTCTCAGAGGGAGAGAAAACCTCCAATGAGGTAAAAAAGACCAGAATAAAATGGCCTTTGCACCAGCTTGGGACGCGGAATTATCTTTTGCATACAGCCTCTTTCGCAGCTACTCGCTTTAAACTGTTTCATGCAAAATCACAGTATTTTTTG